TATAATTTCAAGAAACTCTGTGCTTCTTATGGCACCTTTCTTAGTGTGTTTTGTTTGTTTACCCTTAATACAATCAATACACACTCCAAGATCAGTAAAATTCAAATTTGGAAGAATTTCATTCTTCACTAATCTTTGCATTCTTTCTTTGGATATATGACCCAAACGTTTATGCCACAAGTAAGCAGAATTCTCATCCACTAAACTGCGTTTAGTGCCAACATTATGATGCAAGGTCATCAAGGTCTCAGCAAAAGCATTATCAAGTTTAAACTTGTAGAGACCATCACATAAACTTCCAGTTCCAATAAGATTATTATTCTTATACAAACTGAAAGATCCACAACCAAACTTAAAAGAGAATCCCGCTACATCAAGTTTTGGCAAAGAAACTAAATTGCGGGAAAATGTAGGTACATAAAGGGTTCGAAACAAATCCAAATAATGCCCAGTATCTAAGATCAAACGATAAGTGCCAATGCCTTCAACTGGAGCTTTGTTTCTATTCCCCGTGAGCACATAATTTTCATTTGGCTTTATGGTTTGGATCGAAAGAAATCCCTGCATCGTATTTGAAACATGAGTGGTGGCACCAGAATCAATCCACCAAGTATTATGAGGAACTTCAGTAAAGTTTGATTCAAAACATACTAAAACACAAGGCTTACCTTTCTTTTCGAACCAAGCTTTACGCTTCAGACAATCTTTCTTCAAATGTCCAATTTTATTGCAAAAGTGACACTTAATAAGATTGTGTTCCTTCTTATGGATTTGAGAAGTCTTAGAAGAGTCATTCAGGTTGTGTAAACCTTTCTTCTTGCTCCTTCCACCTTTCCTCTTGGAATTCTTCTCAGCTTCTTGATCACTTAAGAGATGAACAGAATGAGCCTTTTGATTCTTTATCCTTGTTTCCTCTTGAACAAGCATACTGGCCAATTCATTTACATTCCACTTGTCCTTTATAGTGTTGTAATTCATTTGAAATGGCCCATATTGTTCATGAGGCAAGGAATTAAGTATGAACTGTACTAAAAAGTACTCATCCACGTTCATTCCCAAAGTCCTTAATTTTGCCGCTAAGTTTGTCATCTCTAGTACATGTTCATGCATGGCACGTGAACCATCATATTTCATGGTGGTCAAAGTACTCATCAATGTACCAGCTAGTGACTTATCAGCAGTTTGAGAACGCTCTTCCACAAATTTCATAAATTCCTTAGCATTGTCAGTTTTGGAAAGAGTTGTCTTTAAGTAGTTTACAACTGTCATTCGCATAAACATTAAGCTTAATCTGTTCGATCTTTCCCAAGCTTTATGGAAAGACTTTTCATTATCGCTGCTCTCATCAGTAATAGCAGCCGGTTTCTCAATTTGAAGTGCTAAATCAAGATCCAAGACACCTAGGTGAAATTGGACTTGTTACTCCAATCAGGGAAATGCATTTCATTGAATAAAGGAACACGAAGCATGCGAATGAAGAGAAACAGGTACAGGTACTGCAAATATACAAGAATATACTCATACATTAATGCTTTGAGAATATCACATTATCATATTCAAATTAAACATTACATGTATATCATAGTTCTCTTTTGGGTGATCCTATAATATACAAACATACAATAAATCACAATGATGCTAATAAATTTTATTTGGTAATTATAAATACACCCCATTAAAATTTATTTGATATCTTTGGATATACAAACAAATTTAACAAGACATATTAATTACCAACTATTATGTTCATGAATTATAAGAAATTGATTAACCTTTGGGTCAATCCCTAAGTCCTTATAATAAATGAACTTCAATATACCCATGACACCAATAAGGATATGTAATATATCAATTCCAACCATAGCATCAATTAATCATGAGTAATTGAAAGAAACATTATACAATTTTAAAAATTCAAGACATTATGGTTCGGCCACTTTGGTGACTAACAAAGCACTCATAATTGAATTCTTTAAATTGTAAAACACTATAATTGTTTCATTCACAAACATTTACCAAATTGCATGCTGAGGGTAAAATCGTAAATTAATGCGTAAGGGCAAAACTGTAAAATCAGAATCGATAGGGGCGGAACCATAAATTCCGCAGCCAGTGGCAAAATGGTAAATAATCCGATCAATGGCAAAACAGTAAATAAAACGGTCAAGGGAAAAACCGTAAAATCATGCGGAGAAGGGCAGAACCGTAATTAGCGGAGGGAGATAGAAGGCGCGTGTACGGCACGCGCCCGTGTCTGCCCCGTGGGCGCGTGCACTGCATCCGCAGCGCGGGCGTGTGTGTGACACGCACCTCTCTTCACTAGCGTCACGCGCTTGGCGCGTAGATCCACGCACCTGCAATCGCAGCGCGCGCGTGGCTCCACGCGCCTTCTTGATCGCGTCCATTCGCCTTCTTTTTTTTTTTCGGGCATTCTACCATTCGAGTCTCCTCGAACAACCAATCTCCGATCAAATTAATGAGTGGGTTTTGGAGACCACTCCGCCACAACCACACAGATCCAAGATTCGGCGAAATAAATCGGAACAAGAAATCATTTCTCAACAACTTTGGCAAATAACAAAAGGACCAAAATCGTTTGGCGAATCCAAACCCAGAAATCATAATCGGAAAATCATGAGATCCTAAACCTTGCTCTGATACCAACCGTAAGTTATAACGTAATTCTTTTATGCGGAAAATTTATGAACTAGGATCTTAGATCTTCATGATTTTCACAATAAGAGGGATGAAGACATACCTTTATCTATAGTGTTTCCCTCGAAGATAATTGGTGGAGAAAACGGAAGAAACAAAGAAATCTGATTTCTCTCCCTTAACTCACTTTTCGCTTAACGTATCTTATCGATTGAGGATAAAAAATACAACGTTCTTTTCGTATGTTATCGTGGGTGGAGAGAGGACCAGACTCTATTTATATATACCCCTTCAAGTGGTGCCTTTCATCAAAGCATATCCCACTTCATAAGAGTCGCACCTCTTCGGAGGAATTTTAACTTCTCAATAGAATTACACATTTTCATCTATTTTCATAGAAAATATGTTTTAGCACTTAAATAGTTATTAAACCATTAATTCATAATATCATGTGGGCCACATTATTCTTACATTCTGATCCGAGGTGGGTTCGCTTGAGAACTCTAACGGTGGTCAGGCCGTTGCGGTTCACCGAAGCCGAGGCCTCACTCACCCTAGTCTTACTTTCCTCGAAAACCTCGCCTTGGCTGGTCATTCACAAGGTCCATTCTCACCTGACCTCTGCCCTTGCCTCCTCCTCCGGCCACAACTTATCTACCTTGTACATTTAGTCCATCGCCGTCTCATCCTTGGAGACTAGGCAGTATGGCATCGTCCCCAAGTTGCTTTTAGATAAGGTATAGTCGAGCATTTCGACCAAAAAAATGGTTGATATCATGAAAAACTTCAAACTGGTACACATATGACAAATTTATCCTAAATTAATTTTTTGACCATCAAAAACCCTAAACTGGTACACATGTGACAAATTTACCCTAAACTAATTTTTTGACCAGCAAAAACTCTAAACTGGTACATTTGTGACAAATCTACCCTTCGTTAAATTGGATTAATATCACGAAAAATCACAAAATGGTACACCTATGACAGACGGAAGGTAAAACTCCAAACTGATACACTCGTCAACTGGTAATTGACATATCATCCAACTCAAAAATTTGACAGTAAAATTTAACAGAAACTAATAGAGAGTGAAATTATCGCAGGTGTACCAATTCAGGGGTTTTTTGTAATCAAAAAATTAATTTTTGGTAAATTTGTCATTAGTATATCGGTTTGGAGTCTTTCGTCGTATTAACCCTAGAAATTTTGCAAGTGGATGTTTCTACCTAATATTAGTTAGCGAGTACGGCTCACTTGTGAAAACCTCTTACAGTCGAATAAATCACTTGTAATTTATAAATTCTATAGATCAGTTTATGTAAAATTAATATTGTTAAAAAGAGTTGAGGCAGTACTCAATTGAGAAAAAGAGAAGTTCGGGTACCATACAGCATAACGAGCGGAATGGTTTGAGCACTTGCAATATGAAGACACTTCGTTAAGGCCAACTTAACCAAAAACCGCCACGTGGACCGTTTTGACCTAATAAGTTTCAAGACCTTGAGCTCGTACCACTTCCGAGGCCGCTGCCTCTTAGGAATCACGACGGTGAGCACACCATCGGCGCTCATAGAAGCCGTGGCCTCGCTCACCCTCATCTTGTTGTTCCTCCGCAACTTCACCTTGACAATCTCGTCTCCTTGGCCGATCACACACAAGGTATGGCCTCGTCGGATCTCCACTCTCACCTCGTCCGCCCTCAACCATGGCTTGTCCATCTTGTACACGAAAGCCGCCACCGTCTCTTCCTCGGAGACCTGGTCGTACGACGTGGTGCCCCACACACACCGGCCTTTGTGAGGCTCGACATGACAGAATCCAAGTCTGGGAGGGAGATGACTTGTGATTTGAACTTTCTTTTTTCCTTGTGGTTTTCAACATGTTGTTTGTGCATTATTTAGTAATTTGAAAATTTGCAAAATCCTAGAGATGTCAAGGCATTTTAGAATCCACCCACTTTTCATTCGAAGTCGTATTCCCTAATTTAAGTGGCCATCAATCATTCTCGATTGGACTTTAATCACTGATTGAAACCATCAAGTTCCTAACAACCACCACCTTGCAAATATCCACGCGACACATCTTTTGACAGCCATAGTTGGAGAATAGAAGGTCTTGCCAAATTGTCAGGATATGAACAAACGATTTGAGGCCTTGAAAGCTAGTGTCCGAAGTAAACGTGCTAAATAAGTCGAATACACTGCTCAGATGAATTTGCACTCAAGCAATGTGGTAAAAGAAACAAAAGATTTATCAACCATGTTAATCAAAAAGCTGGCAGGCCAATATCAAAGGGTTGAGCACATCGATAGTTCGAGCAGTTGCGGTGATGTGACACTTCGTCAAGACCAAGAAATTCCAATGTGGAACGTTTTGAACTTATTAAATGCCAAGGCCTTAAACTCGTACCACTTCCGAGGCCCATACCTCTTGGGAATCACAACGGTGAGCACGCCGTCGGCGCTCGTGGAAGCGGTGGCCTCGCTCACCCTCATCTTATGGTTCCTCCGCAACTCCACCTTGATGGTCTCGTCTCCCTGGCCGATCACCCACATGGCATTGCCCTGCCAAATCTCCACCCTCAACTCGTCCGCATTCAGCCACGGCCTGTCCATCTTGTACAGGAACGCCGCCACCGTCTCCTCCTCGGTGACCTGGTTGAATGCCATGATGCCCCACACGCGCCGGCCTTCGCGAGGCTCAACATAATGGAATCCAAGTTTGGAAGAGAGACATCTTGTGATTTGAACCTTCTTTTATCCGTTACACTTGAAGATGGAATTGCCATTCATCGATGCAAAACACTTGACGATTTGAACTTTCTTTTCTCCCTAACACTTTGAAGATGGAATTGAGATGCATCGATGCAATGCCGACACTGCTTGCTCTTCTTATGATTGGCATATGCCGGAATCACTTCGTTGCAATCCATGGATGAAATGCCAATGGTTCGTCGTGATTCCTTTTGGGCTGAGCAACCAATGCTGTATAGAATGAACAGACACTACATATCAAAAAAAAAGTTATTGTTTCAATTATAAAGTTATTAATAATTATAGATGCGAGGCTATAACGGTGAATCCGGAGTGGACACTAAAATTTGAAAGCTTGCTTTATGTGTGTAGCGTGATCGCATCTAGGTTACGTATAAAGAGAAAGGAATAAAATTTCTATAAAATCGAGTTATTAAGGATGTGTGAATTGAGTAAATTACTCGATGAAGAGAAAGTAGGAGGTAGTTAACTTTTGATGCAAGGATAATTTCGAAAAATAAAAAGTGAGACAAATGAGTATTTTTTTCCTTAAATTATGAATAGATAGATCGTAAGAACAAAATAAACACTAAAGAGAGCTTGTATAATGTTCTGAACCTTTCTCTCGTACTTATAATTCCTCGATGAATTACCGAAATTGATTGACCTTTTCTATAAGGGATGATTCATGAATATAGACGAGTACGGAGTGTTTCTTCTTCTGAAAAATGATTCATGAATATTATATTATCTTCGAATCATGTAAATCAAATCCATCTGAATCGCTTCGTTAAGAATACAAAAAAAAAATTAATTTTATGGCACTGATTTATAGAAAAATGTAGCATATTCTTGTTGAGCACTATTCTTTCATCTTCTTGTGAGCTTATGTGCCACCACTTATCATTATGGGCTTTAAATAGACACAACATTACATTCAAACAGTCCCTTCTTTTACTACTAGAGTTCGTGACTTGGGGAAACCAAACCTTTTCATAAATCAATTTCTTTCATATTAAACCATTGTACTATTTTATATTTCATATTTTATTGCCTAATTATTTCTATTCTTTCATTTTACTGTTGCCCGTTATTATATTTTCTTTTACTTTAGATCAATACAAAGTATTCAAAGCTATCGGATTTGATTAAATTCCAAAGATGCGCGCAAACCACTCTGACTATATATATCGGATAAGGCTCGATCCAGGCAGTCGCAACCCATAAGATTCATCTGAGTGCGAGACGCTGGGATTCGAAGTGGATTGACACTTAATTACCAAATCAACTGCTTGGAGAGTTCAAACTGACGTTCTTAAATAATGTCTTAAAACACAAGTAAATGGAATAATTCAGCACATAGATCAAGATAAATTGGAAATATGAATGATGATCTTAAAAAGTTTCACTCAAACTATATCTTTCCCAATACTACCCTTCTTTTTCAAAAGGATTCGAGTGTTACCCCCCATTTTGGTGCTTCTTTCGTCCTTGCATCTACCTTTAGTGAATGTGCACTTCTCACCTAATGATAAATTTTATTTTAGAAGACAAAAGTATTTAGATTACTTAAACAACCTTAATATTAAAATGAGAGCTCGTTGACTTCATTGCAGCTTTACATGCATGAAGTGAAAGTTCAATATGAATAAAAACATTATCTTTGACATCTCCAATTTCACTCTGAAAAAGTCACTTAGGAGACATGTTACAGTGGAAGTCGACTCTGACACCCAGTGGCTCAAGTACTAACTTTTCTCACCAATAGTAACTCCAAGAAATGGCCATCTTTCCAGGTTGATGTCTACACCCCCACCCAAATTTATGATGAGCCATTAATTTGAGGACTAATTGTAGATTCAAGAGTCAATGATTGCCAGTGAAGCCAGAGCTAGAAACTTGCATAGATGTGTTTACCTTCAGCATATGAAGGTTGACTCCCTTCAAGGCATTATTCAGCTGAATCAGAATTGAATGGCGGGCTAGACTACATCACGCGTTCACTGAGATTGTTCGATAAACTACTTCAAGTTGGTTCATATGGCCAAACTTTTCTTTGGTTTGATTGTTCGGTTCAGTCTCTCTAAAAACTGCAATTAGGCCGATGATATCGACAAACTGCGCGCTTGTCTCCCTGCCAAGAGAAACGACAAAGATGGAAAAGAGAAGCACCACGACTGCTGAAAGAAATCCATGGAATTGTGTAGGTAAAGAGAGCCCATAGCAGCTGATGTGATGAACAGGTTGTGGCTGATATTTGCTTTGCAGAGACAAAATATCTCAATGTTCTGTGTCTGGCTTATCAAGGTCTCCCACAGATCTGTCTTTGTTTGTGCAACAAGATTCTGAAAAGAAAGGGAAATGTTGGCGGGCTGTTTTCGTGCTTACCGGAGATTGATGTTACGCGTTTTCTTATCAGCGGCTGGCGATTTCCGTAAGCATTGTGGAAGCCAGTCCTTGCTAACAGCTGTTTCTCAATCTCACTCTGAACTGTGGACCAAAGAAACGGTGGAGTACTGAGTTTTCATTGCCCAAAATGGGGCCATTAGTGTTTTGGAACGGAAGGAAATTAAGAAGAAATGTTGCTTTTAATTGATACTTGATCGCCTCGTGGATTTGTGACTTTCCGATGAAATGCCCGAAATGCTTCCTCTTTTAAAATGAATGAGGACATCAGCTGAATGTGAACCACCTCATTAACTCTGACTTGATAAATTGATTGTTGAGATGAACGTGTGAATTGTGTTAAAAAAATCTCACACTAGAGAGTTGATGTGGTGCGAAGTAGTTAATATAATTTAGCTATCACATAACTTATTGGTTAAGCTTTCAAGTGAAGGTGGGATCAATTAAATATGTTGACGTGCTCATACTTAAGCTTTCTTAGCGATCTCCTCAAGTTAAGATATCAAGTTCCTGTTGTGCGCTCTCAACAAATGGCATCGGAATGATAGATTTGTGGGCCCCCGGTCTATTTCAGTATTTAGTAATAGCTCAAAGAAGAAATCTCATGACCAACGTGGTTTCCGGGCAACCTTCATGACTCGGTCCGATGGAAGAGACTAGTGATGAAGGTGCCCACTATGGTACAATTACGCAATTCTGATGACAGCTTTCCTAGTTTGGTCAGGAATGAAGGTGGGTATTGTTGTTGTTGCGAATCTCACACACAACAAAGTGGGGATTCAAGCTGAGATATGTTGATGTAGAAGGAAACCTGAACTAAAGGGATCGGACCTAACATAGAAATCACACGTAGGGGGGAGATTGTTGAGATGCATATGTGAGTTGTCTTAGAAAAGTTTTACATCGGAGAATTAGTGAAGTGCGGAGTAGTTAATATATTATTTTTTACTCAGAACTCGTGGACTTAAACTTTAGAGCGAAGGTCAGTCAACTAGATATGTTGATGGGCTCGAACTCGAGCTCCCTCTTGGCCATATCCCCATATGAAGATATCATACTTTTGTGACTTAGAATTGATTGAGATACCGATGAAAGGATCCTACGAGTAGAGGATCTTTTGCCGCTTCTTTGTGCGCGCGTGTATAAGTAAGTGTGCGTGTGTATACTCACAAAAAGCAAAAGGTCAAGTCAAATTTTTATTGGTTTTAAGTAGGGGAAAATTTCATTTTGGTACCCAAAGTGGGGCCTTTTTCTCAATTTGGTACCCAAAGTGAACATAGTCTCAAATTGGTACCCAAAGTGCCCATTCAGTCTCAATTTGTTACCTGAGTTCGCCGGCCGGTCAAATGCTCACCGGCCGGCAAGAAATTTACTGTTCCGGCTACCGGAACAGTATTTTTTTTACTTTTTTTTTTTCCTTTTCCTTTTTCTTTTTTTTTTCTTTTCCTTTTCCTTTTCTTTTTTTTTTTCCTTCTTCCCTCCGCCGGCCACAGCCATGGCCTGCGGAGGTCGCCGGCGTTGGCCCTCGCCGGCATCGGGCGAGGGCCGCCCTCGCCTGGGCGGGCGAGGGCCGACCCTCTCAGGATCTGGCGAGGGCCGCCTCGCCTGGGCTGGCGAGGGTCGCCCTCGCTTGGGTCGGCCCTCGCCCGACGCAGGCGAGGGCGACCCTCGCCAGCCCAGGCGAGGGCCGCCCTCGCCCGACGCCGGCGAGGGTGACCCTCGCCAGATCCGGCGAGGGCAACCCTCGCCCTCGCCGGATCTAGTGAAGGTCGACCCTCGCCCACCCGGGCGAGGGGCCGCCCTCGCCCGACACCGGATCCGGCGAGGGCGAGGGTTGCCCTAGTCGGCGTCGGGCGAGGCGGCCCTCGCCAGGGTGGCGAAGGTCGCCCTCGCTGCGTCGGGCGAGGGCCGACCCGGGCGAGGGTGGCCCTCGCCGACGCAAGCGAGGCGACCCTCGCCCGGCCCGGGCGAGGCGGCCCTCGCCCGGACGCTGACGACCTCCGCCGGCCATGGCTATGGCCGGCGGAGGGAAGAAGGAAAAAAAAAAAAAAGGAAAAGGAAAAGAAAAAAAACAGAAAAAGAAAAAGGAAAAAAAAATAAAAAAGTAAAAAAAATACTGTTCCGGTAGCCGGAACAGTAAATTTCTTGCCGGCCGGTGAGCATTTGACCGGCCGGCGAACTCAGGTACCAAATTGAGACTGAATGGGCACTTTGGGTACCAATTTGGGACTATGTCCACTTTGGGTACCAAATTGAGAAAAAGGCTCCACTTTGGGTACCAAAATGAAATTTTCCCTTTTAAGTAGGGTTCATCAACCTCCGACGTAGATGTAAGCTTCGGAGATTCATCTCACGGATGTTTCTAAATATCAAATTTATTCATGAAACTCTACAAGTCATGATTTTTTTCTAACTGATAGTGATTGATAAATATGGCTCGCTTGTAAAAATCACTTATAGTTTGATAAATCACTTCTAATAAATAAATTCTGTAGAGCAGTATTTATAAACTTGACATTGTTAAAAAAAAAGAGTCAGCGTGCAAAGTTATTATAAACTCCCCTCGTCGGTCCCTATTCACCTTCTTTCCCTCGTCTCCGACCATCGCTTGCGGCTCAACCTCTCTTCTATGGCGCACCCCTATTTGTGAGTAGGTCAACTAAAACTCCACACCTGAGCTCTCACTTGGAAGTGGCAACGGGGGAACGCTTTTTGTGTTCCCCCTCTCGAAATGGCTGATGAGCTGCTCGATTGCCCGGTCGATCTGTCATTCTCTAGCGAAATGCCCGGAATCCTTCCCCTCTTTTAAAATGAATGAGGACGTCGGCTGAATGTGGACGACCTCATTGACTCTGACCCGATGACCGGGCTCAGTTTGACAAGTCATTGTGGGCCAAAAGTGGCCATTAAGCTTATTGAAAAGGGGGAGAGCACGCGCAAATAGAAAGGAAAGGAAGAAAGAAAGGGAAAGAAAGAGATTTGCGCGTACACGTCACGAAGACCTTGCCGTGCAAATACTATCACCAGAGTCAGAAATCCAATGCACAACTTGCTTCATCATCACGATTGCAAAGTCCAAAATACTTTCCTTAGTCACTCGTATCTACAGCACTGACCGATTAGAAAGTGCTTAAAAATTAGTACTGAACCTTACCAATAATGTCACTTCTTGCGATATAGAACTAAAAAGCTTGCCTGCAAGATAAATCACCGAGGAACTCCAAACAAAACAAAAGCCACAAAACAAAGTCTGTGTGCATCAGAATTCTGGAGAACTGGTTTCTCTGGCAAGAAGCATGACTATGATCTAGAGATGGATCAAGGCACACATGATAGTCCCCATCCCAATGCGCAGAGTTTCGAGAGGAGATTAGAAGGCCTCGCGCTCGACCCAAACAATGATGATTTGAACCTTCTTTTTTTTTACCTTTCATATGTATCTATTATTTCATATTAAGCTATTGTATTATTCTTTATTTCATATTTTATTGATTTATTTTTTCTTTATAATTTCTAATACATTTCCTTTTGCTTTAGATCAATATAAAGTATTCGGAACTTTCAATTTGATTAAATTTCATAGATACACGCATGCAAACAACTCTGACCACGTGCATCGGATAAGGTTCTTTCCATAGGGTGGCAGTCGTAACCCATAAGGTTAATCTGAGTGGGAAACTCTGCGATTTGCAGTAGATTCACTTCATCCAAATCAAATATTTAATCACTTAGCCAACTACTTGGAGAGTTCACGCCTTCATTTTTAAACAATAATAGCAATAATATTAATAAAAATCACAAATCAATGGAGTCTTCAGGACATAGGTCAAGATAGGTTGGAAATAGGAATGTTGATCTAAAATACTTGGTGGGAAAATGAAGAGAGATGCGTACAAGCTAGAGAATGATCAACGGCTTAATCATAGGGTTTTCAAAGTAGATATTTTGTTAAGTAATCAGTATGTAATAAGGAAACTAGTGTACGTTCGAAATACATATAAGTTAGAAAAATATTGTGAACTCACCAAAACATTCCGTGAATATTACTAAACGCCAAGAAAATCACAACTTAGTAGATTTAAAACTTAAAAATCATCAAATATGCAACTCCGAGCATATCAAATATCGTCCATCTCACCCTCCGCAACTCACAAAATTAACGACCTACATGCCATCCGGGACTCCAAAATAAATAATTCTTAACTTTATACCTTATATATATTACAATCGATCATACAAAATTTCGGACGTCACGGTCCTGCCTTTGACCATTATCTCTAAACCCGTCTTTTCTTGACCCCCACGTCAGGAGGGTCGCGACAATATATAGTAGAGAAGATGAAGAAAGTTTTGTTTTGGTCAAAGGAGATGAAGAAAGATGACGAGCCGAGACTTGTTCTTCGTGGAAATGGCGAAGAAACTCCACGGTGGCGTGCATAGAAAATGGCTAGCGGCAGGAAGTGGGTGGAGATTTCTCTGCTTCTTTGATGCATGGTGGGGTCCTTACTTACAGTTTGGGTCGTCGTCCATGAAATTTCAAGGAACTTTGCATGGTTTCTTGACGTGAAGATTGGTTGTTTTCTTGACAGAGGGTTCAGAAAGAGACAACGTCGACCAAAGATTTGTGGAAAAAGAAAGTGATCTTGCTCGTCCTTGTTCGTCGGACATGTCTCTGAACCCTCCTCGGATGGAGTTGGATTTGTTTGATCAGCTGTTCCTGAAAATGCGATATATCTAATATGAAGTGAAATTTTTTTCAAAAACTTGAAACAGTGAATGAAACTAAAAAAGCAAGATAAAATCGCTAGCGAAAATGGAGGCCAGGCCAATTATCAAGTGGTGATTTTTATTACAGCATCGTTGATTTAATGATCGGGTGAAACTGATTTTGTTGGAATGAATTTAATTGGAAATCGGAACGCGGACCGTCTTGAACCTAATAAGTCCCAAGTCCTTGTACTTGTACCACTTCCGAGGCTGGTCCCACTTGGTAACCACGTCGGTGAGCACGCCATCGTGGCTCATAGAGGCCGTCACGGCGCTCACCTTCACCCTGTCACTCCTTCGTAACTTCACTTTAACCGCCTCGTCCCCCTGGCCGAGCACCCACAAGGCCCGGCCCCACCGGATCTCCACTGCCACCTCCTCCTGGGTCAGCCGCGGCTGGTCCATCTTGTACACGTAGGTCGACTCCGTCTCCTCCTCGGAGACTTGGTCATAAGTGGTCGTACCCCACATGCGCCGGGCCGCCTCGAATCTGAGAGGGGCGACAAAGTTGAAGGCCGTCTTGATAAACTTCCTTATCCTGATAAGCTTCCTCATCGTCGGATTGCTTGGAATGCTTGACAAGCTTACCAATCATGAAGTTCACGACGATAATGCAGTTGACCCACAAGACCCATCGATAAAATGCCTGATAAGTTCATCCATCATGAATTTCCGATGGGCAAAGTTAAGTGATGTATATGACATGTGGTGTCGATCGATCAACTCGAAGTACGCACAAAAGTTAAAGATCGAGTCCAAAAGGATCCATCGATCGAGGGTGGAATGCATAACAAAGTGGCCCATTTCAGAAAGAGTAAAAAAAGAGAACAATCATAGGCAATGAAGAAGACATCGCTACGACCAAAAAATAAAAGAAGGCATCCCAAAAGTTACAACAACACATCGAATTTTGATTATGATGACGGGAAAATCATTCATAATAGATCGATTGGAATAGATTATCTAGTTAGATTAGGTTTCTTGAATCTAATATTCATTTTTGTTTATAAAAGCATTCCACTCGTATTCTATAAGTTTCATACAATTTCTTTGTGGTTTTCAATTTGTAGTTTGCGCATTATTTAGTAATTCGATTGTTGCAAAATCCGAGAGATTTCAGGGCATATTAGAATCTACCCACTTTATATTCGAACTCTTATTTACTAATTTAATTGGTTATCCATCATTCTCGATTGGACTTTAATCACTAATTGAAACCGTTGAGTTCCCAACAATCATCGCCTTGCAAATATCCGCGTAACCCGTCTTTTGACGACCATAGTTGGAGAATAGAATGTCATGCCAAATTGCCAGGATATAGAACAAAGATTTGAGGCCTTGAATGCTAGTTTCAGCACTAAAAGTGCTAAACAAGTTGAACACACTGCTCAGATGGATCTACACTCAAGCAATGTGGTAAAAGAAACAAAAGATCAAATTATTAACCATGTTGATCAACAAGCTGGGGGGCTAAGAACAAGGGTTCATCACATCGACAGTTCGAGCACTTGCAGTGTTATGACACTTCTTTAAGACCAAGAAATCTCAACGCGGACTGTTTTGAACTTATTAAATGCCAAGTCCTTATACTCGTACCACTTCCGAGGCCGGAACCTCTTGGGAATCACGACGGTGAGCACCCCGTCGGCGCTCATAGAAGCCGTGGCCTGGCTCAACCTCATCTTATGGTTCTTCTGCAGCTTCACCTTGATGGTCTTGTCTCCCTCGCCGATCACCCACAAGGCATTGCCCCACCGGATGTCCACCCTCAACTCGTTCGCCTGCAGCCACGGCTTGTCCATCTTGTACACGAACGCCACCACCGTCTCCTCCTCGGTGACCTGATCGAACGCCGTGTTTCCCAACATGGGCCTCTCGATGGCGAGGAGAGGGGCGACGAAAAAGAAGGCCGCGCCCTTGACTTTGTTCTGGGCTTTGTCGATTTTTTTCCGGGTCGTAACGATTTTTTTCCAGATCATGCCCCGTTTGCCTGAGGGAGGAGCCGAGGACTCGATGATGACTTGAATTCTCTCTTTTCTTCCCGTAACACCGGTGTTGTGAAGCTATGATTCACCGATGCAATGCCCCCTCTTCTTATATAGATGGAAACGCCGGCATTGCTTTCATCGTGACTCTTGGATGAAATTTACTTTGACTAGTTTACTTTAGTGTTGGGATAATTGCATTGAAAGTCCTAAATACTCATCATGAAAGTGCAATTGAGTCTTAAAATTTTCAAAAAATGTAATTAAATCCTAAAATTTATCATGAAAGTGTAATTGAGTCATAAAACTTTCAAAAAGTGCAATTCACAAAAGACTTGATTGGACCAATTTGCATTTTTTTAAGTCTAAGTCATATTTTTTATATGTGGGCATTGGAAGTCCTAAAACTTATTAAGAAAGTGTAATTATGTGTTAAAATGTTTAAAAAGTGCAATCAAATCATAAAATTTATTAAGTTGGTGAAACAAGTTCTAAAATTCATTAGTATTTACCGTTTGTCAAATTGAACGAAATTAATGAAAGGATTTGATTGAATGTGAGCGACCTCATTGACAATGACCTGATGAGCAGACTTAGTTTGAATAGTCAGTGCGGGCATCTTAGTCAAATGAGTTGATCCATTCAAGTCACCATTTGCAAATCATCACTCCATAGATGACATTGATTGTCGGATATTCTCGACCACGTATTGCGTATTATTGACCTTTTCGTTTTGGCTTTGCTCCATTGAGAGAGGAGCGCAAAAGAAAAGAAAAGAAAAGATGACAAAAGGAGGAAAAGCGGGATTTAAGTACGTTCTTACCTCGAGATCTCTAAGTCGTAAAAGAGTATTCTCTCTTCAGGAAAGACAAAGATGTAGAGAAAATTGAAAACATAAGGCGTATATGTACCGGTATATTAAAATAAGGAATATATTCATGGAGCCCGCCGTCATTATATATTAAACGAACAGGCCGTGGAGGCTCCTGTGGAAGTTTCAACTCCTCTTCAGTGGTGAGATTACTAGAAACCGAACACTCATGATCCATAGGAGACCCTTGGTTACGAGGAAGGAAGAAAAGTAGCCATTCAGCTATTGAAGAGGGAGAGCACGCGCAAATAGAAAGGAAAGGAAGAAATAAAGGGGAAAAAATGAAAGGGAAAGGAAAATAGGGCTTTTGAGCGTACATGTCATCATGACCTCGTCAAGCCATATTAACACTCTTTCACAATGCCCAATAAGGATTCAAATGCTTTGTTCATTCAATCGAAGTAATTTTCTAAGTTATGGTGCCAATTAGAATTTTTGTGAAATTTGAACTGTGGTGTCCGATTTAAGAGTTGTTAAGTTGTGAAATTTTATGAAAATGGTAGATAAGGGCATTGTGGAGCCGTGAGATTTGACGAAAATCCATACGAAGTAACGGTTTAGCTAAAGTAAAATTTTAAAGTTTCATGTGCGAGCTCTGTGCCGCGGATAGTTTTGAATTTAATCAAGCCAAGTCCTTGTAGGCATACCACTTATGAGGCCAATGCCTCTTGGGAATCACGATGGTGAGCACACCGACGGCGCTCATAGAAGCCATGGCCTCGCTCACCTGCATCTAGTGGTTCCTCGCACCTCCACCTTCACGGTCTTGTCTCCTCGGCCGATCACCCACCCTCACCTTGTCCGGCCTCGGCCTCGGCCTGTCCATCTTGAACACAAAAGCCACCGCTGTCTCCTACTCGGTGACCTAATAGTCGACGTGGTGTCCAACACGCGCTAGGTGGCGAGAAGTTCGAGAGGGGCGACGAAAAAGACATTGCAACTTATAGTTCCTTCTGTATATATTCGAACATTTCAATCCGACTAACATTGATATGTTTTTTTGGTTAAGACTAAAATTGATATACCACCCCCATCCTCCCTTGTAACAGTTGTAACACCTCTCTTCCCATCTATGCATCCCCAAACTCGGCGGCACGGCAGTAGGTGGCGTCGGGAGGCAAGATCTATTTTTCAATTATTTTTCGAAATCTTAATGTTAATAGTCTTGAACCTAAATCTAATGTCCTGGTGACACTTCTAATCTGAGGCGGGTTCACTTGGGAACTCTAACAGTGATCACGCCGTTGTGGTTCACCGAAGCCGAGGCCCCGCTCACCCTCGCCTTACATTCCTTGAAAACCTCACCTCGGCCGGTCATTCACAAGGCCCATTCTCACCTGACCTCTGCCCTTGCGTCCTCCTCCGGCCACAACTTATCTACCTTGCGCATGTAGTCCATCGCCGTCTCTTCCTTGGAGACTAGGTGGTATGACATCGTCCCCAACTTGCTTCTAGATAAGGTATAGTCGAGCGTCTAGACCAAAAAAACAATTGATACCACGAAATACCTCAAACTGGTACATCTATGATAAATTTACCCCAAATTAATTTTTTGACCTTCAAAAATCCCAAACTGATACATTTATGACAAATTTACCCTCCATTAAATTGGATTAATATCACAAAAAATCACAAAATGATACACCTGTGACAAACGGAGGGTAAAACCCCAAACTGGTACACTCGTCAACTGGTAGTTGACGTATCATCCAACTTAGAAATTTGACAGTAAAATTTAACGGAAACTAACAAAGGGTAAAATTATCACAAGTACACCAATTCGGGGTTTTTCGTTATCAAAAAATTAATTTGGGGTAAATTTGTCATTCGTATACTAGTTTGGAGTCTTTCGTCGTATTAACACTAAAAATTTTGCAAGTGGATGTTTCTACCTAATATTAGTTAGTGAGTGTGGCTCACTTGTGAAAACCTCTTACAGTCGAATAAATCACTTGTAATTAATAAATTCTATAGATCAGTTTATATAAACTTAATATTGTTAAAAAGAGTTGAGGCGGTACTCAATTGAGAAAAAGAGAAGTTCGGCTACCATACGGCATAATGAGCGGAATAGTTGGAGCACTTGCAATATCAAGACACTTTGTTAAGGCCAACTTAACCAGAAACCGCCACGTGGACCGTTTTGAACCTAATAAATGTCAAGACCTTGAGCTCGTACCACTTCCGAGGCCGGTAGGGGTGTCAAGACCAAACACTATACCCAAATCGAAACACGAACCGACCCGAATCGGCCCAAAATTTTAAGGTATTTTCGGTTTGGGTTTTATTATGTTCGGGTACACAGTAATAAAATGAGTATTGTGATATGTTTCGGTTCGGTTCGGGTCATAACTCGAACTGAACCGAAACACATTACTTTACCAAAACTGACTTGAAACCCTAAGTATTAATTCGCGATACGCTCTCTCTCTCACGGAACGATTTGTCTCCTTCCACATTTAATACTTTTTTTCTTCATGGGTCTTTATCGCCTGCCTTTGTTATGGAAAATTTCTATTCACTGAATTTGGCAAGGAATTTGGTACGCTTGGATTTCCACCTGTTTCACTGAATCTAGCAAGTCTCCAACATGGTCAACAGTTCCATAGCTAGATTACAAAGCGCGGTTTGAATTTTGACCCATTTGTCGATAATGCTCTTGTGGAAACATAAGCTAAATGCGGAAGTTGCAAGATGCA